CTCATACGTCGTGGATCATATTTGACATTTCTGTACTTCCAATAATTATCATTTTATTTGTGTTTTTTTATATATATATATATATATATGTAGGGTAGGAAATTGGAGGAAGAATGCCCATCTTTCATCACATATCCTGAAGACATGGAGGAAGTTATTTGGGGTTGTTTTAGAGAGAGGAACGGGGCTGATTCATCGCGTTTAAGGTGGATTTTTGGCAGCCATCAACAAGAGTTAAGATCGGGGGAATGCAATCGGACTTACGGGGTTATGTGAAAGCTTAAACCAGATTTTTTTCTGCAAAAGTTATGTGCGGATTTGATTTCAAAATTCATATTTCTTAGAGGCAAATATGAATGTTAAAAGGAAATGATGATAACTTATTTGTAGTGTTAATGGGAGTTGTTATGGTAGATGTGTAAAATTTTTTGTGCTTTGCTTTCCATGTTGTATTGAAAAGAAGATTGTAATCAGAATGTTGGAGATGATGATTGTGAATTATGAAAAGAAGATTGAACTCAGAATATTGGAGATGATGCTTGTGAATTATTATGCTGCAAACTGTTTTTATCTTGTAATTCATTTTCTGTTCTGTATTGAGGTGTTAAGCATATGTATGTGTTGTCTTTGAATTAAGAATTCGCATAATAGATAGTACCTTGTTTTCCTACAAATTAGTTTAAGAGCGAAGTGCACTTGAATGAATGTTTATTATTGGTATTTTTGTTATTGGTGTATTTGCTGAAATTATTGAGAGAGTCTCTCATGTATAGTTTCTGCTCAAAGTGTTTGCTGTTTTGAAGGATTTCTCAAATTATTTGTACATCGATTATTTGCTCTACTTTTATAAGAGGGAAATTTTTTGGAAAATTGCATTAAACATTAAGTTGTAAGAACTCAAGTTTATATATTCTAGCTGAATCTTTCAGTCAAATGCTGGCCTCAGTGAATAACAACGGCTTTCTTTTTGGCTTTTGAGTGGCATCTGCGGTATTGTTAATCTCATACTTGCAGTAGCAAATGACAATAATAGTTTAAGATGTGTCTGATGATAAAATGGAAGACCTTTAGCTCTTTAAGGACTTGACAAAGCTAATTGCTTGCGAGGAAGATGAAGTCAAGCGTCTTGCCAAGGTGATGGGATATGGAGTTGATAGATTCCCTTGTAAGAACCTTGGCCTCCCTTTACAGATCGCCATCTCTCAAGAGCAGGTTGGGATCCATGTTGGAGAGATTCCAAAAGATACTGGATATATGGAAGGATATATATACTTATTAATAGGGGTGAGATTCCTTGAATCTAATCTCCTCTTTCCATTTTGCTGCTCGACTATATGACAGTTACAACTAATCCCACCTCAGGCATAAAAAGGTTAAGAGACTTTGATGAAAGCAATTTTGTGGGGTGCTCGTGAAGGTGCTTACAAGTTTCATCTGGCTAGCTGGAGAGGAAGGTTTGTGCACCAAAAAGACTGGGTGGACTTGGGAAAAGGCAACTCTTAACCAAATGGTGGTGGCAATATGCCACTGATACCAATCATCTATGGAGGAAGGTGGTTTCAGAGTCAGATGAATATGATTGTTTCGTTGTATTTGTGCAGATTAAAAGCATTGAGAGGGAATATAAAGTACTCGTTTCTCACAAGGATGGAGCTGCCTCCACTTGAAACAAATAGAAAAGTTGAGAATCCAGAGGGCTAAGGTATGTGCCAGCGACGTTGAACTAAGTGACATAGTTGTCACCATTGTGCACAGTATCCACATAGTTGTCACCATTGTGCACGCAATACTTCACAACTGTTGGTATACAGAAAAGTTGCATTATTCTTGGCAATTTCTGGTAGTGTGCTGTAAAACTATGAAGATTGTAAATTTGTTGCTCACTTCAGAATAATTTTATCTTTCTTCTTGAAATGAAAGTGTTCACTAATGGTGAGAATGCGGCTTATGTTACTGACGCCATCTATTTCCCTTGTGCATCTTGTTTGTTTTCTTAATTGGCACCATGAGCCATTTGTTCGTCTTCTGCGTTTATTTCTTTCCTCAATTTGGTATTAAGCTTATCCGTTTGTCTTAGCAGTTCGTACCATAAGGCAAATGTCATGAGTTTTTCACGTCCCTGGATAGATCTGCGAGTTCTGGCTTTAAAACACAAATAAAGTCGTCCTTTTCTAGTGGATTTGGGCTCGGGATTTTGACACCCTGCAAGTTTGAATTCTAACATTGGGCTGTCGAAAAACGATAAAAAAGCCTAATTGTTTACTTTTTCTCATGTCTTTAATTTTCTTATTGTTTCACGTTTTGGAATTTTGACGTAAAAACAACCCGACTTCTCTTGATTTGGACAGTTGACTGAAGAGCTTCTCTTGCAGGGGCCGCACCAATGTGGGCTCCAAAGTAAATTTCAAAAAAATTGAACCAGGTGATTTGTTAGTTTTGTGATTTGTTACCTTTGTAATTTGTTTTTTGGGAAAATTATGTAAATATCTGTTGTAGTTTTCGTTATTAACAAAATACCGAATACTTTTTGTTATTACTGATATATCAGTTTTTTGGACTTCATAATTTTTTTTTTAAAAATAGACGAAACTACCCATTTCGGTTTTTCAAAACCAAAATCAGGCTAATTTCAGTTTTTGAAGAATCGAAAATTTTAAATTTTCGGGTTTTGAAGAACCGGAAAATTTCTTTCTTGTGGGTCCTTTGTGTATACTTAAACTAGAAACTTTATCATAATCCAATGCACTTAGCACCTCCGGAGGGGCATCCACTGGGGTTGGACTTTAACTGCATGTAGTGATCCCTAGTATGGCTAGTATCCATTGTCTGCCATCAACAAAAGACTTGAGATGCTCCTTTGGATTACAGTATACCATACTGTACTCAACTCGATTATGGTATTCTTAGCGTACCATAAACCCATATATATGTTTACAATTTCTGTATACTCATTCCTAGTTTCTTGTTTTGTAGTTTCTTTGGGCATGGAATCCAAGCACTCGGCTAACTGCTGATGAGGCACTTCAACACTACTTTTTCCAGGTATTAGTTTCTTGAAAACATTTGACCTGCTTTGTTTGTGCACGTCGCTGATTAATTTTGATATAGGCTAGTTGAGTGATCGAACTTTGCTTTTGAGCAGCCCTGCTTCTATGTTCCTCCATCTTTTTGTCAAAAGACCGTTTGTGGGCCTAAAATTCTTTGTAAAGGTTCAACTTCTTCCACTTCTAATTTTATTTTGATTTACTGACCATTGTCTCTAAATTGATTCAAATGAAGTACAATATCAAATCTGAAAACTTCAAAATTTAAACTAAAAAATTGGCACCTTTCACCACTTTTTTGGAGTCTCAATCCAGATATAAGCCTAACTGCAAAAAGGCGTACCGAGATTGCTTTTCTTTGGAATTAATGATGATCTATCTGTAACTTTTGTTCGCTATGAATCCAGTTAGATGAAGATACTTGGAAAATAGATTATGGCTCTTGGGGTTTGAAAATATTACCAAGGATTTTGTGTTCTTAAGTTAGAAAAGTTGCAACAGTTCTAAATAATTGGCCTGAATTAGTGTGAGGAATCGATTCTATCCCTGTCGTCAAGCCAAGTGATTGTTTCTTCCTGAAGGCCAATTAAGATGTATTTGAAAATGAGTTTTCCTTGTTATGTTGTACCCCTTTTTTTATTTAAAAGCGTGCTATATTGTCCAATGATTCAAAGAAAATATTAGCCCTCTGGGTTTGTATTTTGAAATGAATGATGCATGGCTGGAGTTACAATGGAACCCACTAATGACGTACACATTCTGTTTTGGTGTGTTCCATACCTTTCTCTTCACTGTTCTCATTTCATCAGACCATCATGATCTACATGACTACGTTTTTCTAAAGTCCATTGACCATATTATAATATCCCTTTTATCACAATATATCATCCTTTTTTATTATAAATTTTATTTTTTGATGAACAACAAACCTAGAGATTATCCATCTCAAGTTTCTCATGTAAAATCTCAATTTGGTTCAGCTGCAAAATTGCGGCTAGAGAATGACCAGGTAGCGTATGTTAATAGATATTTTTAAGTTCTGGCCTTGTAATCATTGTTTGAAAATCCGCTCGATCTAACCGGTAACCACCCGGTTAGATTGGAACCGGCTCCTTGCCAGTTCCGGTTTCAGGCGGTTTTGGTGATCGACCGGTATTTTAAAAATAAAAATTCAAAAAAATGTCTATAAAATACCAAAAATAAGGAATTTAATTTGTAATACATTTTTTAATATTTTTTACATGTGGTAAATATTAATTTTGGTCATTAATACTTACTTTTAAAATCCATTTTTTCATTAATTTTCAACTTCATTTGAATGTGTTTTGTTTTAATCATTCTTTATATGCTTTTTATATTTTAGTAGAGTTTTTTTTGTATATTTTTTATTTTTTTCAACAATTTTTTGTCCGCCTAGGACTTGCTTGGTTAGAACGGTTGAATCGGCCGGTTTACCGGTTAGGCTGGTTATACCGCTTTTGGCCCTATATCCAGTTAACCGTTCCGGTTCGATTTTACGAACACTGCTTGTAATCTTCTAATGTGAACCGATAAAGTTATTCTCTTCTTACTAACTTCTCCTATTCTCCAAATAGGATTTTGTCTTATTGTAAAGGACAGCGTATAAAATATTTGTTTCCGATGAAAGATGTTCCAAATGAGACACAGCATATGAGATATCTCTATCCCATGGAAGATACTTCAGGTAATAGACTTGACTTAATAGGTGAAAATAAGTTTGTGCATGTGAGTGTAAATATGCTGATATATTTAATTCTCTTGGCAGGATGTTTTCTTGGTAACATTGGAATACTTAGAAATTGACTAAATGTCCATACTCCATAGTTTTTATAATTTTTCCATATTCTTAAAGTACTGTAGTGCCTCTTAAGTAGTCTTCGAGGAAAAATATTCAAAAACTTCTAGTAAGCATAGCAAATACCTGCGAATGGCTTCTGCCATGGTCCATTTCAATATAGATGTACTCCTTTTAGTGGCTTGAGGTTCATATGGATTACTTGTCCTCTCTTAAACACCTTTTGTTCCTTCTTGTCAATTTCATGCGCTTCCGTTCTATGCATTCTCTACTATCATTTATTATAGTGTTGGGATTCCCATTCACAATATAAATTTATTATAGGAACCTCGTTATTTTATGTGTTTTACACTAGGTTCCTTTAACAGTTTGATCATGTTTGTGGTTAATCTTATGCCAAATATCTGCATGTGTTTATCTCAATGAACATCAGGGCTGTAGGTCATTTGAATGGAACTGGCTTTCATCATATCAACATACTTCTTCCGAGTTCCGCCAAATACAATTCTGCCAAGCATGAAGATGACTATGACTGGGGGGACAACATACTGCTTCCGAGTTCTTTGTAACAAACTGCATGGTTAAATTATTTTTTGATTTTTTGTAAGCCAAATATAATTTAGCAGAGCATGAAGATGACTATGACTGGGGGACGACATGCTGCTTCTGAGATCCTTGTAACAAACTGCATAGTTAAAGACAAGGAATTTTTTTTGATTTTTTTGTAAGAATCGATGTTCATAATTTCAAGTGATTTGGATTTGTAGAAAAAAATAAAAATTCAAATACGAAATGAGGTCGTGAGCACTATATCATATATGAAATCATGAAGGGTGCAGTTAGTATATAGATGCATTTGTAGCTGTACATTTGTAGCTGTACATTTGTAGCTGTAGAGGTAAGGTGCA